CTCTGCCTCCCGAGTGCTGGGATTAAAGGCGTGCGCCACCACTGCCCGGCACATGTCACATTTTTATATGTATATATCCTTCACAAATGTTAATTTTATGTATGAAAGACTTTCCATTTAATTAACTATTATAGAAAGCATATTTTAGTATCTTTCCACATGAGAAGAGAATGTTATAAGAGAGCACTTCCCATGAGGCTTATAAACCATTGAAAGAACCAAATGTCACTTTTTTTTTCTGATGAAGTGATTTAGTTGATCTCAAATATTGTAATCTATGATTTTTTTAAATTTTAACTTATTTATATTTTTAATTCACTCATTCATTTCTGTGTGTGTCTGTGTGTTGTATACATGAGTATAATATGAACATGCAGAGGTCAGAAGAGGACCTGATATGTCTTCTTCTATGACAGTCTCTAACTAAATTGGTTACTTGCCATTTCAATAAGGTTAGCTGGCCAGTGAACTCCAAGAATATCTGCCTGTGGTGATATTTTATTTGTGCTTAAATGTGGTGATATTTTATTTGTATGTTAATAAATAAAGTGTTCCTGGAGATCACAGGACATAGCCAGCCATAAACAAGAGTCAGGCAGCGGTAGCACATGCCCTTAATCTGATCATATGGCAAGCAGAATCTTTGTGTTCAAGGACACACTAGGGAACAACCAAGCATGACGACAGTACCAACCATAGAGACCTGGAGGTCTATATAGACAGGCAGTGACAAGGAAGTGAGGTAGCTGGGTTAAGAGCCAATGAGAGGGCAGAACAGCAAGGCAATAAAAGCCTGGATAAGCCAGGTGGTGGTGGCGCACACCTTTAATCCCAGCACTTGAGAGGCAGAGCCAGGCGGATCTCTATGAGTTCAAGGCCAGCCTGGGCTACCAAGTGAGTTCCAGGAAAGGCACAAAGCTACACAGAGAGACCCTGTCTCGAACAAAAAAAAACCAACAACAACAAACAAACAAACAAACAAACAAAAAAGCCTGGATAGACAGGAAATAGCTCTCTCTCTCTTGGGAAGCTATGGCAGTGTGGTGAGCTAAGGTTAGCTGGTGGCTCACTATTTCCCTGATCTCTACAGCTTTCACCTCTATATTTGGCTCAGTGTTCCTTATTTCATAAGGCTATTTAGAAATTCATCTACATCTGCCTGTTTGTTTCTTACATTCATGCTGAGGTTGGAGGCACAGGCAGCCATTCTTGGCTTTTTAATGTACGTGCTGAGGATTCTAATTCAAGTCTTTATGCTTGCTACACATAAACTCTTTGGTTGTTGTTATTTTTTGAGACAGGGTTTCTCTGTGTAGCTTTGAAGCCTGTCCTGGAACTCATTCTGTAGCCCAGGCTGGCCTTGAACTCACAGAGATCCGTCGACATCTGCCTCCCAAGTGATAGGATTAAAGGTGTGCACCACCACTGCCCAGCCTATACATAAACTCTTACTCATGGAGCCAAGTTCTAAAGCACTTAACCTTAAAATTTCTAAAACAAATCCATACATTCTTCTGCTCATCCTAAATATTTTCCTAGGATCACACTATGTCAAAAATTTTTAGTATTGGGGATGGTGTCATGAAATTTTAGTTATTGGGGCTGGGATCTTGTCTATATACTTGAATAATTATGTATATAAATAAGACAGTAAAGGAACTAAATGGCTGGGTGGTGGTGGCACATGCCTTTAACTCCACCACCTGGGAGGCAGGTAGATGTCTAAGTTCCTGGCTGGCCTTGTCTACAGAGTGAATTCCAGGACAGCCAAGGCAATACAGAGCAACCCTGTCTCAAAAATTAAACAAAAACCAAAAGAAAAACATGCAAGAGAATTTATTTGTATGTATATGGTTATCGGACTTTACTTAGGCTTTAATGGTTGAAAATTCAAATTTCCACTTTTCATATAATAACTCTCACCAGTTGTGACTTATTCTTTCATGTTTTTCACTTTTATTCCTTGTATTTTATTCATTAAACATATTTGCAGATGCATAATTTATTTTAACTATGTATTCTAGTATAATTTTGCTTATAAAATATTATACAAATGTTTCAATTTTTGAGAAAAACTTTTCTCTCTAAAACTTCAATAATGCAGTCTATAGAGGCACTTAGGAGTTATAGCATAAGTGAATTAATTTTCTTTAATATTAAAAATAACCAAGACAAAATGTTTAACTTTATTTGGAGTTAGTATTAAACTATCTTCTGCTCATGAAGAAGTCAGGGTAGACCATGATAAATGAGTGTGCTTTGAAGATTTATCAATTACTCATGGGTGAATCTTCTCACTGTCAGGGGCAACTGGTTTGGAAGAGAAAAAGATTGGAACTACAGTGGCACAATATATGACAAAATGCAACAAATACACATTTCATTTGAAGCTTCATTTCACTTCATTCATTAAACTTAGGAGAATAAGGAGCACTTCCAGTTTCATTTCTGCTGCTGGGATCAAAGACCCTGACCAAAGCTACTTAAGAGATGAAAGGTTCGATTGGGTTTACAGTTGCAGGGGCAGGTTATTTTTAAGGGATGTCAAGAAAGGACCCCAAGGAGCTAGTCACAACACATTCATGATCAAGAGCAAAGAAAGAATAGATATATACTCGCTTTCTGGCTTGTTATTCTCAGTTAGCTTTCTTCACTATTGTGTGGCTCAAGGCCTAGCCCATGAAATGGTGGCACCCATGTTTAGGGTGGTCCCCCCACATCAATTAACCTGAAGACAATTCTTCACAGGTGTGTAGAGAGGCCATCCAGGTAATCTCAATTGAGACTCCCTTGTCACGTCACTCTAGGTTGTAAGCAGCGGGCATTTAAAACTAACCCATACAGAGTCTGCCATGATTCTAGTAATTGCAAATAAACATGCATACATTCAATGAATTAACATTGCTCTGCACTGTTTCCCTACACATAGAAAAAAACACTGTAAAATAACACTAGATAGGGCCACCTAGAACTGAAAGTAAAAGTATTGATTACACTGTTTGGTAGCCTAAGTCTCTAGGCTAAAAGTACACAGGAAGAAGGAATCAAAACAGAACAAAGCTGGGAGATACTTAGACTGACTTTTCAAATATCACATCAATATATCATCTGTCTATCTCACATCTATTTATCTATCCACCCATTTCTCTACCTATCTACACACACATACACATGTACAGAGAAATATTTCAAACATATTTAAATGTGTGTATTTAATTTACTGTCAGTTATATGCTAAGACATCTCTGAGGTTGCCTTCTGAGACTTATACATATTTTTTTACACACAAGAAAATTCTTTATATTGATTGGAACACTTGTCAAAAAGCAAAAAAAAAAAAATGGAGCTAAAGGAACAGCTACATTTCTGTTGTGGACAATCTACAGCAAATAGTTTATCCAAATTCTTAAAGGTTTGGTCCCTAGATGCTCAAGCAGATCCACCTTTTGCTAACCCCTCACAGTCTTTCTGTCAGCATTTTCAATGCTACTGATGCTGTGAGTAATTTTTGCAATAGAGGTCAGGCAAGTAGCAAAATCCTGCATGCCCTTCTTGCTGATGAATTCCCCTTCTTCTGTGGCTTTTCACCATAGGTTCACATGTCATGGCCTCTACATTCAGAAACTGAGGTAAGCAAATTCTAATCCTGAGAGGAAGGAGGAAAATACAAGCCTTTCTTGACTTTATGAGCTCATTTCTACTTCAGTTCAAATCAACAAAGCATCGGGAAAAGAAAGTCCACTTGTAGCAAAATAAACAGACTTTCAAATACATACTTGAACCAGTATTCCATTTGACACTTGCACAGTATAAGAGATTTGATTTGCCTATGCCTGTTTGAAGGGTCCCAGAAACAGGAATAAGCATTCTGGGCATGTTTCTCCTGTTACTTCTTCCCTCTATGTACTTGAGGAAGTGAAGGCAGCCAAAAAGCCAAGAAGCCAGGCAAACAAGGTTTGTCCCGCCACTGACCTGCAAAAGTACTCTTGCTACAGATACTTACTTAGGCCAGACAGCACCAGAACACAAGCTTCACTTTACTGGATCCATGAGAATGCACAGAAGCCACCTTCCAATGGGGATGCAGACAAGCATCCTGCTGTTGCTGACTGCCCAGAGGAAATGGCTGTAAATCAGTGCTGTGGCAGGCTTTGTCTTCATTCCGTACACGTTTGCCTATTGATGACAACACAGAGCATGGGCTTTCATTACATACTTAGACAGAGAAAGAAAAACACAACAAACCAAGATGTACGAGATGAATGGACCAGCAATTGGCAGCTTCTCTGTTTGCCACAGTTTTTGAAATACCTTGGTTTGCCTTGCCCCTTGGCAGTGGCAGTTGCTACAACAGCAGCCTACACCCAGTAAGATTTTTGTCTCCAAGTCATGCAGAAATACGTTAACAAAACTGAAAATAGGAAACATGTCTTAAGTTAGATTTTTCTATGGTGTCATTCACATGCTTTAAAGTTTAAAATAAACATGTTTGTTTTCTGATCCTGTATCAGAATTGTCATTGGAGTCATATTAAGGTTTTCTTTCCAGCAAAGACTGTAGGAGATTAAAATGATTCTGTGTAGGGCAGTAATCTCAGGACAGAGGAAACCAACAGGAAATAAATGCTAAATATTTTTAACCATTTGTATGATAAGCTTAGAAAATACTTTTTCCAATTCACAAACATCAGAAGGAAAAATAAATATCTGCTTACTGGTAGCACTAAGGATGTATGCTGTTAGAAATTCAATATTCCTTTTTCTCTTCTATATCCTCTACCAAAAGGAAGATTTTACATAATTCTCAGACTTTAGATGTCTATGTGAATTGAATACTATTTTCCGTTTATCTTTGTTTTTCTTTACTGACTTGTTTCCCTGAGATTTAGAGAACAATTTGTGCAATCAAAATCAATTACTGTCTTGAAATTTAGAATAAAAATTACAAAATATAAAGTAGATAATGTTAGAATTAAACAAATGTGAGGTCTATAAGTTTTAGACATAAAATTTCTTATTTCTCTGAATTGTGATTTACTTCTAATTTGGGAACAGCTAATAAGTTTTAACAAAGAATAACGAGTCTTAATTGGTGTGTTCTTCCCTAGGAAAGACTATTTCTCATGTTCTCAGGATTCCTCAGTTACATATTGTTCTTTGTGTAGGGTTGAGGCTTCATAGGATTCCCCTTTCCATTTCATATGTATTGGTGTTGTCATTTTGCTGATTTTCTTTAAACCACCATGATGCTGATATTTTATGGGTATAGCTTCTCTGACGTTTCTAAGAGATACAATCTCATTGAAAACTTCTTGTTCCTCTAGTTTTTACAAATTGTCCACACCCTTCTGTTCTAATTACCAGGCCTTAAATTCAGTGTTGTGGTGTAGATGTATGAGGTGAAGCTGGGTACCACACAGTCACTTGTTCTCTGGATTTTCACCTGTTTGGGGTTTCTGTAATGATCTCAGTCTGTTTCAAGGAGAATTTTTTTTTCAGGAGGGTGAGTCTTATACTTATTTGTTGATATAAGAATCAATATTGAGAATGTAATTCAAAATTATTCTGGATTAGTTCAGTGGCAATTGTAGAACTACAACTTCCCTAGATCCAAGTATCTAGTACCAGGCATGATTTCCCTTTGTTGAGTTGACTTTAAGACCAGCTAGAGGCTATTACTTACCACCAAGGTATGCATGCCACTGTTATGCCCTTAGGTAAATCATGCCATGCTGGTCATTGTTTAAATTCATAGGTATCATACCCAGGTAGTACTTATGGTTGCCTCCCTCCCTTAGAAATGTGAATGGCTCCTTATAATATCATAAAAGCTAGTCTTCTAGTCTTCAGGGAGGAGGCTTCTAGGTCTAAAACAGCTCTGATCTTCTAAGTCCTGTGTTTGAAGTACATGGTGTGTTCAGCAATGGAATCTTATCTTCAACTTCTGGGAGCCAAAGTGAACAGCAATAGCCTATGTTTAGGGAATCTCTTGAATGGCCCTAACTAACAACTCAAAATAGTTTCACCCTTGGTTGTAGAATCTTTGTTATATAATGGTTCTAATATTTATTATCAGAGATAATAAAGCCTATGGTTCTTGGGGCAAGCAATGCCAGCCCAGTTAATAAATTTTCAATTAAATTATGTATGTATATGTATACATAGATTTATGTATTATGCATAAGTTTTGATAAATAGTAATATATTATAAAGTTTACAGACATGATCCTTGGTATTTTACCTGCCTCTCTTACTTAGTTAAAGCCCCTTTCTGTGTTTTCCCATTTTCCCTTCAAGTCACTTGTACCCTAATAGTCCCATATGTATTCTTTTTCAACTACCAATATCCTTTCTTTACTTTCATGGTATCTTCAGTTATTCTGTGTTGTATACTCACATCTGAAGATTTAAAGCCAGGAACTGCTTCCTTCCTAGTGCCATTTGATTGGAATATTTTGTTCACTATTTTTATTTTAAGACAATGCTTATGTTCTAAACTAAGATGTGATTTTTTTAAGAAGAAATAGATGGACTTGTTTCATGATCTATTCAGGCAGTTTGTATCTCTTGAATGGATTATTAAGGCCAATAAATTTTATACTTATTATTGAAAGGCATAGGTTTATTGACATCATTGTGTTGTTGATTTGAGGTGTTATTGTTTGTGTACTCAGTGTTATTTTCTGTTTAAGTAATTATGATTCTAGATTTGTCTCTTTTCTTTCTAGTCTTATTTGTGTCCATTCCTCTCTTCAGCCTGAAATATTGCTTCCTTTATTTTCTTTCATTTTGTTCTGTTGGCAATAAATTTTTAGGCTGTTTATAACATGCAAAGTTTTTCTTTCTCCTTCAACTACAGAAGACAGTATTTCTGGTTAGGTTAGTCTAGGTTTGCAGTCATGGTCTTTTAGGAGTTGAAATATATTCCTCCAGCTCTTCAGTCTTGCAACATTTTCATTGGGAAATCATCTGTATTCTGATGGGTTTTCTTTTATGTGTGATGTGTGTTCTATTTTCTTACAGCTTTCAATACTCTTTCTTTGTTCAGTATCCATAATATTATCACTATGATACATGATGGGAGGTTTCTTTTCTGGTCTTATCTATTGGAGTCTCTTTGTGCTTCTTGAATCTTTATGAGTATGTGTTTCTTAGCTTGGGAAAGCTTTTTTCAATGATCTTTCTGAAAACCTTGTTTATATCATTATTCATCTCCTTCTATTTCTATAATTTGAGGTTTGGTCTTCACATGGTATCTTACATTTCCTACACATTCTTTTACAGTATTTTTTTATACCTCAAGTACTATTTATTTCATCTAGATCATGTACTTTGCCTTTGAGTCCTGACAGTCTATCTTCTATTTCTTGCAGTCTATTTTGAAGTATTTTCCTTAAGTTCAGTAATTGGGTTAATGGGTTTTTCAATTCCATCTTCATTTCAGCATGCATTCTCTTTTATGTTTCCATATCTTTATTGCATCAGTTTTCACATCCTGGATAATCTTCATCTTTTCCATGGACCTTATGTTTGTGGGTTTTTGGAGGGAAGATCACTAAAGCTTTTAACCTCTTTAAGTTCAATGAGCTATTATTTTGTGTCTTCTTTAAACTCCTTGAATTCTTTGATGACATTTATGATTGTTCTTTTAAATTCTAGATGTGAGATTCACATGAGTAATTCTCATTGTTAAATGTTTCTATACCACTGGAAGTGGGATACTGCCTTAGTTTTCCATATTGTTTATATTCCACAGTAATATCTAGGCATGTGAATTTTTGTTATTTCTGTGTCTAATATAAACAGATCAATTTGGGGATGAATTCATGGTGAATGGGTTGGATTGGGCCTAAATGTTCAATATGGCTTATGTGTATTGATGTTAGTTGGACAAAGGGGCCTGGCCAGTGTTCTGGAGGCATATCTTGGTCAAAACATAGAGTGTAAGAGATATATATGGTGATTGAGGAATATGCATGGAGGAGGGTGCTTATCAGGATACAGCCTAAAAATGAATGGACAAAATCTGCCTGAGTGAAGACTTTGAAATATGGCATGCAAGAGGCCAGTGGGTTGATGATCAGCAGAGGGTTTCTTGGATGAGGACTAGAGGTAAAAATTGCTAGACTACACCCAAGAAATGGATGTGGGACCAAAGCTATATCCTATAGTTTGAGGAGGATGCACAAAGAGAAGACTAAGAAAGACTCACCTGGCCAGACTTTGGCCAAGTATGGATTGATTACATTCCTGACACTTTAAAAGAATTCAAAGGAATTCTTTAATAAGCTGGGGTAGCTAAAGTAGAAAATAAACTTCAGAGATTAGAATATTGTAAAAATTTTAGAATGGTTGGAGCTAATCTTTGTATGATAAGATGGGGTATTAACAGAGTATGCCTTCTTTCTGAGAAAAGCATAAAATATCACAAACAAAGAGAAGCTGGACATGTTATGCTTGTTATTTTCATGTTGCTGTCACAGAATGCCTGCCAGAAACAACTGAAGAGACCAAACATTTATTTTGCTCAGGGATTCAATCCATACTTTCAAGGGAGCAGCAGAGCAGCACACATCAAAGAAGCCAGAAAGTAGGGGGAAAAGGTAACAGAAAGTTGCCAGAGGAAGATGTAGCACACAAGAACATGCTCCCCTGCATCAACTTCCTCTAACCTTGACCTACTTGCCACAAGTCTTTCACTTCCAGTTCCTTTACTCAACCTTTGATTCAGTGGCTAGGACAATTCTTTAGATTAAAGATGCCATAAACTAATTGTGTTTGGAAATGCTATAACAGTCACATAGAAAAAAAATTGTTTTTAAGATCTTCTAGACATTTCTCAATCCAAACAAATTACAAATCAAGAATAATAATCACATATAAATGGAAGAGAAAGAACTATAGAGAATGAAAGAAGTTTCTAAGAATACCAAAATAGGCCATGGTAGATATGTATGTACATTTATATCTACCACCTTTACTTCTTTTTTTTTCAGTTTCCTCAGTGTTTAAAATATGCAAAATATACAAGGTATTGATTATGGATTGGAACTACAGAAACAAGTCGCAGATACAAATCCATTAAAAAATGGATTTCTATGTTTGGAATAAAGTTGAACCAGACTACTGTCAAATACTTTAAAGAAAGTTTGGAATGTTCAAGTAAGAATGTTGCTTAAACCATCTCAAAAACTGCATTGGTCCACAATGAAAGTTGGCTGCAGCTCCAAATGAGAATATGTCATCGGTAAACATCAAACTCCAAGACTGATTC